CGCGTAATCAGCACGCAGATCAAGAAATACAAGACGACGAGCACCCTGTAAACCCCGTCCCCCAACCAAGGGTAAACACCACCCTGACTTCAAACACCATAGATTTGTTTTGCCTTTTTTAAACATCGTGTAAACTGAATTTCACATTATGTGAGATTTACCCATGTTGACTTGGGTAGTTAGTTTGCTGCTTCTCACGACTGTATAGTATTCCATTGTCTGACTTTTCCATAATTTACCTACTCTCCTGAAGAACACGTGGAGCGTTTCTGGATTGGCTATTACAAATAGTGCGTTATGGGGCCAGCCTGGTGGTAGTGTGGTTGGGTTTGCGTGCTCCACTTCAGTGGCCTGGGGTTCACAGATTTGGATCCCGGATGCGGACCTACAAACCGCTCATCAAGCCATGCTGTGGCGCTGTCCCACATACAGAGTGGAGGAAGATTGGCATAGATATTAGCTTGGTGATAGTCTTCCTCAAACAAAGAGAGGAAGATTGGCAACACATGTTAGCTCAGGGCCAATCTTCCTCACCAACAAAAAAGCAGATAGTGTGTTATGAATAGCTTGTCCTCATCTTTTGGCAAACTCCTGTGCACACTTCTGGTTTATAGATATCTGGGAGTGGAATTGTGGGGATGGGCTCCATTTCACTGGGCCACTTGCCGCTTGCTAGCTTTGTGAACCGAGGCAATTTATTTAGCTTCTCTGAGACTCACTTTTCGTATCTGTGTATTGGAAATAAAAATACACAGTGCAGCGGCCAGGACGTAATAAAATAACGTCTGCAGGGCAGCCTCCTGGCCCAGTGTAGCTCCCCTTTCTCTCCTCCTGCCTCGGCCATGCCGCAGCTCTCTCTGCCGTAAGTCGTGGATTTTCTGCTAGGTTCCCCCTTTGCCAGGAATCCTCCCCATGAACTTGGAAAGCTTGCCCGCTCTCCAGTGCCGGTGGGGGTGCCCTTCCCTGGTCCATTGTCTGCTTTCCTTTGTGAGTCAATCACTGGCACCCAGTCCAGCATTCACTTGCTGTGGTCACTGTCACTGCTAACAAGTGTCTTTATGATGGTCCCTGTAGGAGTGTGGCTGGGACAGGCCCCGCAGAGGCAAGGAACAAGGGCTGAGGAGGAGAGGGAACAGGCGGCTGAGATCCAGCTCAGGAACTTAGAATGGACGTTCCTCCTCTCTTGCCTGGTCTTACCCCCAAGATCTCCTGGCAGGAGTTTTTCTTAAGCCCTTTATTTCCTTATGCTTCCTGAAACACCTTGAGTCAGGCTGGGAGGCTGCGAGTGCTCCAAGTGGGGAACCTACCCACAGGGGGCTCTGTCAAAATAGAGCTGCCCTCTGTCTCTATGTAATGGCAGCCTGGAGCCTTGTGTGAAGGAGGATTCTGAAAGTACTATAATTGATTAGTTATGTCTGCTATATGCACAGGAGGTGGTAGTGGTGGCACATCTTTCACGTATTTACTATCTCTGGCTTAAAGGTATTGGTTAGTATTAATTAGAATGGACATGCATTTGATTTAGAAAGATAAATGGAATTTTTTTTAATAGGTGAGTTAAATGTTTTCATTTATATGATTATTGATATATTTGGATTGATTTCTATCATTTAATTGTGTTTTCTCTTTACTATTCCTTTTTCCTCTTTTTCTTTGTTAAAAAATATTTCTGGGGGCCAGGCCGGTGGCACAGTGGTTAAGTTCACACGTTCTGCTTCTCGGTGGCCTGGGGTTCGCCAGTTCGGATCCCGGGTGCAGACGTGGCACTGCTTGGCATGCCATGCTGTGGCAGGTGTTCCATGTATAAAGTAGAGGAAGATGGGCACGGATGTCAGCTCAGGGCCAGTCTTCCTCAGGGAAAAGAGGAGGGCTGGCAGTAGTTAGCTCAGGGCTAGTCTTCCTCAAAAAAAAAATTCTGTTGTTTTAGAGGCTATTTAAAATTTTTGATATACATTTTTGTTATTTGATGTTTCTATCCCCCTGAACAATGCCCTCCCCTAGCCTATTTTTATCTAGTTTTATCATTTTGAATTCAAAATTGATGATTTTCTAATTTGATTAAATTTGTTTACATATCTTATACATTTACTTATTTATCATTGTTTCTCTTACTCCACTCTATATTTTTTTGCTGAATGCTGCCACCCCTGTTGCCACTACTAGCAGTGAGCGTTGAGGGCTTCCCGCGTCTTAGACAGCGTCTTAATCATCCTTCTTGTGTTAAATCGCTCAGTCCTCCACGCCATCCTGAGTTTATGGTGCCTACTTTGTGGATGAGGAAACAGGACCACAGCGAGGTTAGGGAGCTGCCTGAGGGCCAGCAGCCAATAGGCGGGGGCGTGGGGCTTCAGTCCCAGCAATGCATCTTAAGAGTCCATCCTTGTATCCATCTTGCTGCTCCTTGCTCTGTGTGTGTTTATTTCATTTTTTTCATTTTGAGATCATTTTAGATTTACAGGAAACTTGCAAAAATGGTACAAAGAGTTCCTCTATGCCCCCTACCCGACTTCCGCTAATGTTAACATTTTACAAGACCATGGTACGTTGAGCAAAACAAAGGAATTCACATTGGTAAAATCCTATTAACTGAACTGCAGACTTTATTTGAATTTTACCAGTTTTTCCACTGATGAAAATATTAAGAACATTAAGAGTTTTTCACATATTGAGGTATACGAAGAAGCCATTCTGGTTTAACCCTGATTCAGCCTAAAACTTGTTTTTCCCAGAGCAGCCTGACTTACGGCCCACCAAACATGCTTTGTGCATGTTTCGAACATCTTCCCAAAGCAAAGAACACACTCTTTAAAGACAGAGATGAATGTCTCCCTTTCTCTGATGCCAATACCAGCACTTCTTTGAAAACAAGATTTTCTTCCCAGAGAACCAAGGTCAGCTGTGTATGTGCTAAACTGCAGCAAAACATATCCTTGTGATTTGGGGGGAAAGATTGTATTCCTGCCATGCTTGATGTATGTTCTTTGTTCTGAAATGGTGTATAAGCACGCTGTAACCCATGCTTCCTCAGAGTGCTTTCTTCCCTGGTGGAGAGAGCACTTCCGGGCTAGTCCTCAGCATTGGCTCAATATCACTCTATGTTTCTTATCTATAGATTGGTTATTGCTTATTTGCATCGACACCACTAACGTCTTTTTCTGTTCCAGGATCCAATCCAGGGTACCACATTGCATTTAGCATATATATTAAACTATTTTTACTATGGAAGATTTCAAATTTATATAAAAATAGAGACAACAGTAAGATAAATTTATATGAAAGTAGAGAATAGTAAAATTTATCCTTCACTCAGCTTCAACAATGATTAACTCATGACCAATTTGTTTCCTTCATACCCCAAACCAAATTCCTTTTTTCTTTATCCTGGTCCTGTTGACCTGCAGTTTACAGATATGCACCCTATGCATCATTTCTTATTTCCTCTGCTTCCTGTATGAAATTCTCTAGTCCATGTACTTTATTTATCATGGAGTTTCTGAGGCCAACACCCAGAACTTCTTTTTTTTTCCGAGAAGAAATCCTTAATACTTTGTAGAAACAGTTGAAGGGGCCAGGAAGTTATGATTACTTAAAAAAACAACAGTTAAGATTTCTTCCTGAAAAATGTGTATTTTAATTTTTGACCAGATAATGCATTCGCGTGTGTTCACATATAAAAAAGCCTATCATCCCTGCCTGCAGTTGCCTTGTTCTCTTCCCAGGAGGCAGCTGACGTGAGTTTCTGGTGAAGAGATTGGCAGGACTTTTCTGTAGCGATTAGAGAGTAAATATTTTGGGCTTTGTGGACATACCCCTGTCTAGAGTGACCTTGGAGAGGAAATTTATGCAAACACAAGCACAGACCTATACACGTCCTTTCCCACAACTCTACAAAAATGGTGGCATCATATAGAGAGTGTTCCAGACTTCTATCTGTTAACCCAGAGGTTGGCAAACTATGGCCAAATTCAGCCCGTCACTGGTTTCTGTAAGTAGTTTTATTGGAACCTATGTTCATTTGAGCCAGCTGTGGTCTAATGGTTAAGATTGGCGCTCTCACCACCATGGTCTGGGTTCGTGTTCTGGTCAGGGAACCACAGCACCCATCTGCCATTTGTCATACTGTTGCGGCTGTGTGTTGCTGTGAAGCTGAAAGCTCTGCCAACGGGATTTCAGATACAAGCAGGGTCACCCATGGTGGACAGGTTTCAGGGGAGCTTCCAGACTAAGACAGACTAGGAGGAAGGACCTGGCCACCCACTTCCAAAAGAATTGGCCATGAAAACCCTATGAATAGTGCGGGGCATTGTCTGAAACAGCGCCGGAAGGTGGGAGGATGGCACCAAAAGACCAGGCAGGGTCCCACTCTGCTGGACGCAAGGTTGCCACAAGTCAGAATCAACTCATTGGCACTAACAACAAACGTTCATTTGTCTACACAGTGTCTGTGGCTGCTTCCGTTCTACCAAGGCAGAACTGAATAGTTGTGACAGAGACTATACAGCTCACAAAAAAAACCTCAAATATTTTTTCTCTGGCCCTTTAGAGAAAAGTTCGCTGGTCCCTGAGTTAAAAACACATCTTAGCCTTTCCCTGTCAGTACAGAAAGAGCTTTACTCTTTTTCATGGCAGCATACTATTTCCTAGTATGGCCGCATCGTGCTTCATTTAATCAAGCTCCCCTAATGGATACGTAGGTCATTTCTGACCTTTTGCTGCTACAAATAATGCTGCAGTGAATAACCTTATGTTTACCTCATTTTCCACATGTGTGAATATATTTACAGGATGAATTCCTAGAAGTGGAATGGCTCCATTGAAGCAAATGCACTGATCATTTTTAAAGCTATGGTCAAATTGCCCTCCATGGAGGTTTATCAACTTATATTCTCACAAATGTTACGAAAGTGCCCGTTTGGCCCCACCTTTGCCAGCAGAATCTCTTAAGCCTTTTGATCTTTACCAATCTCCTTCGGTGGAAAAAAAAAAGCATTCCAGTGAAGTTCACTTTCCGTGCCTTTTATTCTGGTGAGTTGCGTCTCCTTTCACGTGTTTAAGAGGCACACATCTTCTTTCTGCTGCCTGTGGTTTGCTCTCTGGGTCTGAGGGTCTTTTGGGGGCTGGTCAGGGATGGGGGATGGTCCTCTCTCTCTGACTCTCTTGCGTCGCTCTCACAAACAAGCTTTTGGGGAACAAAAGTCTTAAGGATGAACATGGGGTGGCAGTTAGGGCCATCGACATTCCAGACCTCAGCGTTGGGGAGCCCATTCCAGACCTCAGCGTTGGGGAGCCAGGGGGACACCGGAGGGGCACTTCCATTCTGCTCTGAACTCAGAAGGCTAACTTTGAGAGGGCTCGAGCTGTTCTCCTCTGCTGTGCTCCTGTTGACAGAGGCAGCCTCGTGCTCCTCCAGCTTCTTGATGGGGACCACGTGGCAGGCATTGTATTTGCAGCTGGCCATCTTTTTGGCTTTCTTGGGATTCTTTCTCCTGCATGATGCCAGGTGGTACTGAAATCTGCTGAGCGGGATTCGGTGGTGAGGGTTGTAAGGGCAAACTTCCAAGGCTTCTGGCTCCATGAGAAATTGTTCTTGAAGCAGAATGGTCACTGCCAAGAGTCAAAACAAAATGCCCCTCTTGGAAAAGGCCCTTGGTGGGAATAATAGAGATTTTCTCTGCCCCAGCGTTGGCCTTGTACGCACAGGTCTTATCAGCTCACGTTTCCTGTTCTCTGGGACCACGAGTAGTGGATTAGAAAAAGGACAAGGAGCTGTCAGGAGCAGCTGCACAGAGAACAGAGTTATCAAACGGCACGTGAGACAGAAGAACTATGTAAAGCAGATGCAAGAGCCAAAACCCCAAACTGCCCTGCCTGGAAGGTGAAGAAGGTATGTACGTGCCAGCCCTGTGTGACTCTGCAAGTTATGCTGTGTGATGTCATGGTCACAATGGGCAGCGTGAGTCCTCAGGAACAGGCTACTTGTTGTCCACCACTTTCAAGGGGTGGGGCACTTTGGGGACAGCTGTCATGCAAAATTGTTTGTGGCATGTCTGTGACCATTTAACTGTCTTTAAACTCACCTGTTTAATATAATCCCCCATGTATTTGGGTTTAAATCTGCCATCTTATTATGTGCTTCTTGACTTATTCTTCGGTTTATTTGTTTCTTCTTTCTTCTCTTCTTTTAAACAGACAGTTTTAAAAAATCTTTCCATTTCCCCCACTATTTTGTAAGTTATACATTCTCTAATCGTTTAGTGGTTACTGTACAAATTAAAACCTTCATAGATAACTTACCAAGGTTTAAAGTTAATAAAAGTTTCACCCCCTTCCTGGATATTATGGACTTCTTCATTTACTCCCCCCTTGACTTATTACGTTATTGTTCCCTGTATTTTAAGCCTAATTTTTAAAAACTTGACAAGACAGTATTGCTGTTGTCCTTTTACATCGTCAAAGCTTGTGTGCACTCTTCCTCCTGTTCACTCCTCTCTGTTTTTGCACCTCAGACCCACCGTGTGGGATCCCTTTGTGTCTGCTGGAAGTTTATCTTCTAGAATTTCCTCTTGACAAACACTTTTGGTTTTGTTTGTCTGAAAATGTCTTTATTTCATCCTCCTTCTTGAAAGATATTTCGCTGAGTATAGTGGTGTTATTTTCTTTCTTAACATTGAAGCTGAGTTCAGTTTCTTCCAGCTTCCACTCTCTGCTTGAGAATTCAGAATTCCATCGTTACCTAACTTCTTACGAAGGTAATCTATTTCTTTTCCTATGTCTGTTTTAAATGATTTTTCTTTATCTTTTATTTTTCTATAGTTTCATTGTCATGTTGACCTGTGGGTTTCTTTTTATTTATTTGTTAGACCTCTGGAATCTGTGGATTATTGTCTTTCATTAGTTTTGGAAAATGCTCAGCCATTCTCTCTTCAACTATCGCTTCTACTTATTCTCTCACGTCCACTGGAATGATAAATGTCACTTCCACTGACATTTCAATGTCCAAAGCAAGTGTCTTGGCCACATCTAACTTCAAGAGTCAAGGAGGTACACGTGCTCAGAAGGAGGAGAACGGAAACTTTGTCAAGAGTCCTAAGAACTCCTCCAGTCTGTCCTTCTTATCACCAGTGTTTGTTCCCTTTTTCTCCATGTGCACAGAGTGTACTCCTTCCTACCCAAGGGAGAAAACCCAGAGTCCCAGCTCAGAGTGGGGGATAAACAGCTTGATCAGGGCTCTTGGGGCTTCTTGGTCCTGGCAGGACCTTTCTCTAGACTAGTGGGAATTCTAGTACCTCCAACCAAGTTGCCCCCTGTGAGGAATGAGAGGGCCACGGAGTCACGCTCACTGTACCCTGACCCATGCACCCCAGAGATATCTCCTGGCATACTTTACTAGGAAGGTGTCCTTGGTAAATCGTAACTTCCGTATCATTGATTTGACAGTGTCCATTTTCTCTGAGCCTGTAACCCAGTATTGAGGGAACTATGACATTGACCCTACTGGGAGTTAACAGGTGGCTCAGCATCTGCTCTTACAAACCCCTAAAGCCTGTCATGGTGTTTGTTGACAACACTGACAATGCTTTTGCTTTTTAAATTCTCAGTCCTACAGCCTTTTTCGCATGTATGACCAGGAGTGGCCCAAGCTCGAGTAATTTAGGCATTTGTAAGGCTGTGAATGGAGATGATAATGAAAGCACTTCATCTGTCATTGAAATCGACATAATAAAGGACAGGGCATTAGCTATTGCAGGTTTCTTTGTGGCTAAGCACCCATTAGTGCCGCAAGCCACCATTTAGCCCATTAGGGAGAGAGGGAAGGCCAGGGTTGTTAATGCTTCTAATGGATGTCTTGAATGGTCCTCAAGCCTGCAGCCTTCCCTCAGCATCCACTCTGAGCCTGGGACCTGACAGGATGCTCACCATGGCAACACAAGGGAAGAGACGGATATAGATGCACCTGTCTGGGTGGCACTTCTCAGGCCCGTCTGCATGTATATGACCAGTAATGCAAGCGAGGTCAGATATGCTTTCTGCTCACTCCTGTTCCACACTGATCATCTTGAGAGATGCTGCCAACAGATGGTAATGAGAGCTTGGAGAGGAGAAGGTCACAGAGCATGCAGAAACAAAGTTTTCTGAAAATGAAAAATCATATGTCCTGGCCAGCCAAGTCGGCAATGATCATTATGGGGTGGTATGGAGCAGTGGAAGGATTAGAGTTGCTACGAGTCTGAAACTTTCAAGCTTGGAGAGACTTCTGATGACACCAAGGCCAGCTTCTCTCCCAGAGCCAGCTCTCCTCTGGTCATATAGTGATGGGGAGCTCCTACCTCCCCAGAGAGTTCCGTTGTTAGGTTTCATCCACTGAACTAAGCTGACCTGCCTCTTCATGGCCTTTAGCAGTTAGTGTTAACTTGGTGACCTCGGCCCCAGGAACATCCTCTGGGATATCCCAAGCATGTCAAACTCACGCCCTGCGTACGTGGCATTGGAGTAGGGGTGTCCACTCCATTCCTGGCTCCTTGTGTGTCCCTGCATGTCCAGCAGACTGGTGTGGACAGCCCAGCCAGCCCCTCTGAGCCCTTGAGCTCTGGCCCAGGGCTTCTCCATGCTGCCCTTTCTGGGCCGTTCCTTGTTCAAGGCTGCTCTGGTCTCAGGCCATCTGGGCTCCTGCTAGTTCTTTCGATTCGAGGGCCTTATTTTGAAAACCCTCAGCGTAATGCTGTGCATCACTTCTCAAACTAACATGCGCACAAATCACCTGGGATCTTGTTAAGATGCCAGACTGGGGTTATCTTTGTCAGGTGTATGTGTCACAGCTGCGCTGGACTTGTAAAATGAATCGGAAAGCATCCTATCCTTTTCTGTTTTCTGGACAGTTTAAACAGCCTAGAAACGTTCTTTGAAAGTTTGAAAGAGCTTGTTTGCTGAACTCTCTGACTCATATTTGTTTGGGAAATCATTCTGTCAGTTTCCAAGTTAGTTCTGTGGTTTTCTGCTTCTCTTGGCAATTTCTATTTTTCTACAAAAGTATGCTGTTACAGACTGAATTGTGCCCCCCTAGAATCCACATGCTGAAGCTCCAACCCACTGTGACTGCATTTGGAGATAGGACCTTCAAAGAAGTAATTAAGTTAAAGGAGGTCATGAGGGTGGGGCCCTCATCCAAATGGACAGGTGTCCTTATAAGTTGAGGAAGAGACGCCAGGGATCTATCTCTCTCCCCAGGAGTACAGAGGACAGGCCACGTGAGGACACAGAGAGAAGGCAGCTGTCTGCAAACCAGGAAGAGAATTCTCACCAGAAACCCTGCCAGCACCTTGATCTTGGCCTTACAGCCTCCAGAATTGTGAGAAAATGACTTCTGTTGGGTAAGCCAGCCAGTCCGTGATTTCTTGTTACGGCAGCTGGAGCAGACGAGAATACATGCATTCTCTACTGAACACTCCAAGCTAACCAGCACACATCTGTATTTGCTGTTCTCTTTAATTTGAAAACTCTCCTCTGCATCTTTAGCTAAATTTCCCTTCCTTTTCTAATTTCTTTTTTATTTAAAGATTGGCACCTTAGCTAAAATCTGTTGCCAATCTTTTTTTTATTTTCTTCTTCTTCTTCCCAAAGCCCCCCAGTACATAGCTGTATATTCCAGCTGTGAGTGCCTCTGATTGCGGCATGTGGGACACCACCTCAGTGTGGCCTGATGAGCGGTGCCATGTCCACACCCGGGATCTGAACCGGTGAAACCCCGGGCCGCCGAAGCAGAGCCCACGAACTTAACCACTCGGCCACGGGGCTGGCCTATCTAATTTTTTTGGATTCTCTCCCTCACTTGCTCGCTGTCCCTCCCTTCATCAGACTCTTACAAGTCTAGATATCTTACAGCTATTTGTAAGTAGCCGAGTCTTATATTTATCAATTCTGGTTTTTGTTTTCTATTTCATTAACTTTTACCTTTACTTTTCCTTCTCTCCCTAGGTTTGTCTCGGTCTTGTTTTCTGGCTTCGTGAGTTGGATGCCTCGTTTACTTTCGGTCTTCCTTGCTTAATGACAAAAACACTTACAGCCACAGGGCGTGTGTGGTTACATTCCAAGGGTTTTGCTCTGTGGAATTCCAATTGCCATTATGTTCTCCGTGGCCTATAATTGCTGTTTCATTCCCTTCTTTGACTTGAATTATTTAGAAATAAATTTCCGAGTGATTTAAATTTTTTTTGGTTAGCCGTTTGTTTTCAATTTCTGTTTTTATTGGATTGTGGTCAGATAATGTGGCCTGAAAGACTATATTGCTCATTAGGACCTCTGAGGTTTGCTTTGTGGCCTAGAATGTCATCCGTTTCAGTTGTTTCCTTAGAGATGTTTGAATTAAATGTTTTATCTGTCTGTATGTGTTTATCGATTGGAGCTTACCTTTTTGAGCTGACATTCCTTGGAATGCGGGTCCTACACGTCACTCTGGGAGCTGGCACAATGCCTCCCTCTCCTGAGGATTCAGCCGGGGTCCAGTGTGTCCGCCAGCACGGACCCAGGGAGTCCCAAGGTAGAACAGCCCGCATGCCTTTGCTCAGTCAATATTTCCTGAGTGCTGACTTTTCTCCTTAACATCTGATCCTGCCTCAAGCAGCTAGTTTTCCAAGGACCGTATTTCAGAAAAACTCTGTTTTAAGGTTTTCTCTTCTTTTTTTTTGAGGCACAACCATTGATGAAGAATCATAGTCGTCATTCCTCAGGTCTGGCCCCTCCCTCTGAAACTCTGAGCCCCTCCGTGAGTCCTGAGGCTTCTCTGCTCGTTTTTACAGGAGGAGGAGCTGCCGTGGGGAATGGCCGTGTGGTCCCTGCAGGACGCTGTGCCACTCTCAGCTCCGGTGGGATTTGCCATCCTTTTGCTTTGTTATCTTGGAGGCTCTGTTGTCTGAGGGACCCAACCAAGGTGTGAAGCTACGTGCAATGACCTCACTGCTGGGCTCCAGGCTTTCTCTGTTTGTTGGAGCAGCCTGAAGTTAGCTGGGCCCCTTTCTGTACCTGGCCACAGGAATATCCCACACTTCATTCCAACATCAGCCCTGGGATGTGAAGTAGAGCCACAGCCTGCAGCACCACGAGCCAGCCGTCCTGCACCCCCCAGGGGTAACATCAGCACTAAGTGTGGATCCCCTACAGCTGCCTGGGGCGTAGTGTCCCTGCTCCCTGCTGCTTTGAGCTTGCTGGTTTCATAGAGTCCTACCAGGGATGTGGCTCTGTCTTCACTTGGGTTCTTTCAGAAACAGAGCCTGAGACAAGGATTCAGGTGCAAGTAGTTTGGGAAGTACAGGTAAGCCTGTAGGAGGGTGGGGACGTGAGATACATTTGT